ATCCTAAATGTGCAGCCAGAGGGACAACGGAATGGCTCAGATCAAAGCATGTTGTTGTGTTAGAATGGCCCAGCCAAAGTCCAGATCCAAATTCGAGTGAGAATTTGTGCCACCAGTTGAACGTCGACGACCATACATCAACAAAATTTTACGCTAAAGCGGTGGTTTTTGATAACATTCAATGTGTTCATCGGCAAAACATCAATCGAGTGAATCTCACATCAGTGAGTAAATACACCAAGGAAGAGTGGAAACATTGTGCCTGCCATGATCTGGTGAAATATTTGACTGGATTTTAAAAAAAAAATAGTAACAAAGTGTGTAAAGCTCTTTAAATAACTACAGGATAAACTACCATCTGTCTGAGCTGAAGTAGTCGTCGTCTCAGTTCCCCCCCTCACACTCAAATAGAAACATCAGCGCTTGCGTATTTGTACACATCCGTGCATCTTTGTATTTGGCACAAACACATGGAGGGAAGGTTGAAGAGGCAGAGACCACACTGCTGTCAAGCTGCCTGAGGGAGAAGGCAGAGCTAATCCACAGTTATCAACACTTTTAAGCCTGCAGACTTCAGAGCCATTTGCAACCCCCTCCCCTCGCCCCCCTCCCCCGCTGCGTCGACTCTGCATTGGCTTTTCACACGAAGGATGCTCCTGTTTCTACCTGAATCCATGACGGGCTGTCTGCCAGTGGTGGCTCACTTTTGGGTTTCCAGGGAGACGGTAAAAGCTTTGCGCCTGAACGTACTGGGGGATGCAATGCGTCACGCCCCATTTCAGCTCCCAGGCACAAGCTGCAGAGTTCTCAATCCTGCAAAAGCTTCTCCTTCAACCGGTGTTTACCACATAATCTCAGCCAGTGACAAAGGACAAAACTGCTTTCGGTTTGTGCGTCACTCTAAGAACAAGAGTTGGATATACACAATTCCTCTCTCTATATATGAGCCTTTTATTATACCACAGCTTGTTTAGCATCTTTGTTGTCCCTGAATGATGAAAAGACCACTAACCACTAAAACCTTCAAAACTATCTGCAGGGATTTAAGTTGTGATGCGATTTAAAATAATATCCTAGTATAAAAAGCATTCAGTGCAACATCATTGAAAATAATCATTAAAAGCACTAAAATTTTATTACGAATATTATGCATCCTAACATATAATGCTACCCAAATATGGAATTTTATTTATTCCTTTTTATCTTTGATGTATTTTTTTTTATTTAATTTTTGTGTATTTTTGTACATTTACATGCATTTTACTTTGACAATCACATTCTCCAAATAAAGAAAAACAGATAGATCTTTAATCTTTAATCTTTAATATTTTAGCTATTTAGTTTGTTTTGCATCTTTACAATTTGACTGATGCATTTACATCTTTTTTAAAATTAAAACAATTGGCAAGAAAAAGCATTTGCTTTGTTGTAAAATTCAAAACATATCCAGTAAACAATTTTACAACATATAAAGAAAAAAAAAAAAACATAGGTTGAGAAAAGGATGCTTAAGGAAACTATGAAGGCCTTTTTCCTTTTTATGCAGATTGCAGCTGATGTTATATTGGCATAAATTTGTACAGTTCACGCCAACAACTTGGCAGGGCTTATAAAGATCAAAGCAAACAAAAGGATATGAACATTTTCTCTAAATGAGCATTAAGAAACTATCTGCCGGGGTCAAAGCAATAACATGCAATCAGTGTGGTCTCTCTGAAAGACTGCAAGATTATGGAGGAGAGAAAAAAAACTCAAATAATGAAAGGATTAGAATTTCAAATTGCAATTAAAAACACCCAAAAGTCACAGAGAGGGAAAGTTAACGGAGCAAGTACTTCTTAGAGGCGACAAGTCGAGTCTTTGCTCTGTACATTTTCTATCATTCTAATCCTCGTAACAGCGTTTGGCATAATAAAGAGTCTGAGCTTAAGTCGTGACCGATATCGATTTGTCCGAGTCAAGGATGACTGATAACACTTGTTGTAGTTTTAGAGGGACGAGGGAATCTGGGGAAAAAAAAAAAAAAAAAAAGGCAACAGCACCCAATCTGAGCAGCAACAAGTGACAGATTTCAATATAGACAAAAGTAGAAGACAGAGTGGTCTTATACGTCTAATTTCAATCCATACATGCAAGGTACTTCCTTCAGTCTAAAGCCAAAATGCCTTGTTTATATCCCAAAACAAAGCTCTCTCCGCATTCACAGTTGCGGTTTTATTTCATGCTAAAATACTGAAACAAGGATTATGAGGGAAAATGTTTTGAAACTTGCAAATGGATCGACTCTGGACATAATAGAAAAACGTTATGTTTTACCTCCCCCTAGTGGTAGGTGGCGGGAATGGCAATGCGTGCACGCAACCTACTAAAACATCCAGTTTTATTCCCAAAAGAGAATTGTGGTTTGTTTCCCCCACTGGCGAATAATTTAGGAATATAATGACGGCAAGGATACAAGTCATTATTTTTGACAGGCACAAGAAATTACAAACATTACAGCGCATTAGCAAAGCAGAACCTCTGAATCATTGCTTTCCGACGTCTCTCGAGGTTGAAAATTGTCAAACGAACCCCAATGCCGTGGCTTCCTCAGCCTCTTAAATTTTCCTCCGACCTCACAAGGTCCTATTTTTCCCCCATTTCTCTTGCCGAGCAATCAGATTTCACACTTTCTTCTGCCCCGAGTGAGAGCAAGCCTCTTTCTGATAATCCTGTTCCTACTCCTTGTCAGATTGACAAGAACAGAGGCCCCTGTGGGCTGTGTGCACATGCATACGTACACATACACATCTTCTATACCGGGCACAAGAAATACAGACAGGACAAAAAGAGCTGGAAGGGAAAAAAAAAAAAAAAAGATTATAGGAAGAAGAAATGAATAGTGAAAAGAGTTTTATATCAGGACTGAAAATTTGTCTGCCGCACATTTTTGGATAAATGGCGGTCAAATCCAACCAAAGATTTATAGCTGTGCACTTTGCCTCACCAAATTAAGAAGCCAAACTAATGTACATGGAAATCAACACTGAGTTCTCATGTGCATAAACACATGCTGTAATCATAGAAGACACACATCGACTACAAAAAAAAAAAATAAATGGATTCAGGGTTGACAATCGCATTTAATTTTGGCAGTTTGATGGAGGACAATAAACAGCAACATTTCTGAGAGAAATTCCTGGAGGTGGGTCACTTTTTCCTTCTCCTTTTTGACTTGCCTTATAAGGCTGAGCCCTACAATGTGAAATAATGATATCAAAATTAATTATGCCATTTATAGCATTGCTTTGTATTAGTCCATATTCTACCCATGTGTAGGTTTTTCTTTGTTCAGCAAGCAAAGTCAGCAATGGCATGACATGGAAGGCGGCAATGTTTCATCTTGGCGATTACATCGAACAGAAATTATTTACACCCTGCTCTAATTTCAAGAATGGTCCATCAAAGTAGCTTCACTAGAAATTGAAGCTCAAAGTAAGATCCAGAACTACAATGGAAATACTTTCCAGGACAATCCAACATCAAACTAGTCTTCAAAAATATATATTTACTGTAGTGTCAAATAACTACAGTAATTTATGAGTCTTGTGTCAAACTCAAGACTCATAAGGTCAAATCGAGGCCACCTTAGCCATTTCTGTGGCGAACGCCACATAAAAAAGAATCTTCAAGATAACAGTTGTGTGCCTAGATATTATTTTAGCACTCAAATCAAAGCCATTTTATCGGTATAGTGCCAAATTACATCGATATGAAAAACTGTTGAACACTATTTAAATTTTAATATGGACTCATCAAATGCAGAGACTGCTGCCATGTTAGCATGGGTTTTAAAGTCACAGTGAAATGCAACGTAAAAAGTGGTTTAAAATGTTTTTAATGTGTTCAAGCTGCAGGACTCGGCTTCTCAGTGAACAAACTGTTGAGACTCATAGACCCAACTAAAATTTAAACGTTTAGATACGAGTTTAGTTCAGTGTCACTTTTCTAATCTCCGCTACATCTTTATATATATATGTTAATAAGGCTCTAAATAAAAACAAGTTATGAGTAACTCCACTTAATAAAATCCCCCATAAATATTGATTTATTGGAGTGACTCAGTACAAGTTATGCGTTATTTAAATTATAACTTGTCAAGTTGCTTTATTTCTAAATCTTTTTTTGGTTTTTCCATGTCCTGGATGGCTAAGAACCTATAGCCCCGATGTTTTATTTAATCAAGGATAATGCTTAACGTCATCCTTGATGTTTACATTACACCCAGTGTTTATCAGGTGTCAAATTTCATCTCCAGAAAAGTTTCCTTGTGCGTCAAACATTGGAGGTAAAGTAACTTTACTTTAATCTGTCTTTACTGTCACTGGTGGAGAAAAATCCCCATTTAAAATAACAACCCATTGCTTGGTGGAGGGAAAAATAAAGCCTGGTGGCCCGCCAGGCTGATAAAACACTGGGAGAAATTCTGAGTTCTGTCTATAGCTCTGGTTGTAAGCGGGAACCCCGTCTATATCACCATCTCTAAATAGGAACATTCTGTGTTTATATTTCTGAGCGATCTTTAAACTGCTCTTGGTCCTATCCCTCACCTACGACCCGTTTGCCACGGCAGACCCCACCCAGATAGAGGAATGAAGCCTCCGAAGGCTCCAAGGATCACTGGGACACTCAAAGCCCTCCACCACAATAAGGTGGCAGCCCATGGAGGGGAAAAAACAAAGCCAGAAACAGTTCCCTGCTCTGAACTGAACTGATCTGGAGAGAGGACAGAAGGAGGCACTCTGGTGTTTCTAACTAAACAAGAAGTTTAGTCAGAAACTAAGCTTTTTGTTTTTTCAGTTATTTTTCTCTCTACAGAAGCTACACCTGGTCTAGTGTTCTGATTAGCTGTGGTTGCTTCCTGGAAAAGGGCATTGGCTGACATGATGCTGCCACCACCTAACGGTTCACCCTCTCCTTTTCATTTCCACGAACATGGAAAGTTCTCCTGAGCAACTGACCTGTTGCGTCTCTGCTCCGTCTTCTCTCAGCTCCAGTCGGTCCCTTGTAGGGAGTCCTCAGCTTGACGGAAGTGACCTTACCTTCATTGTAGTAAATCCATAATCGATTAACTGCTAGCTCCAGATGCCATTACATCGCCTCACATGTTTCAGGGACGCCAGCAACCAAGCAAACCGCCACTGAGAGGCCATGGTCGGGTCTCTCTCCTTGTGTGCTGCTCTGGTTAGACACCAAAAATGGCTTCACGAACGTCATCGGTGGAAAAAGACAAACAACTTAGAATAAGGTTTCCGAAAAATAACTTACCGAATAACCAAGGCAGCTATTTCAAACTTGGCCCTCCCGCGTGCTGCTAGCCATCTCTGCGGCCTACTTGTAGGTCAAGTACAAGACGCCAAACTAGGCCTGGATGGACACTGACACGATTTCAATCGGACCCACAAAGGTTTCAGTCATAAGGCTGGGCGTCCACTCGGATTCCGCGTCTTGGGAGATCAGAAAATAGCATTTTTAATCCAGGTCCCAAAGTTCATAAATATAGTTTTGTGTCTCTGTGAGGTGCTAGCCGCATCTTTTTTATAAACGCTCGAGTAGAAGCTGCGTCATATTTTTTTTTTAACCCAGCATGGCGCATGCGCATCACGCTCATTGATGACATTTTAAGTATTCAAAATTTCAAAATGTACATTTT